GATTGACTAATTCTTGTCCTTGTTCTGTTCAACAAAATCTGTTCTATTTCTGTTGGTGTAACTTTCATTGCTCTCTCTCTCTTTATATATATGTATTTTCTTCTGCTCTCTTTCTTTCTCTCGTATAACCGTGGGATCTAATTGATCACTATATAAGGCGATGAAGAAAGTAAGAGCAGGGAGCATTTCCTTTGTGAAACATTCTTGGAAATGTCTCCAGGGACAGACTCGAGGATAGAATAGTGAAGATAACATCGACGATATACTGTATATATCGATAGTACTATTCTTCCAGTTTGTCCATTGTGATCACAATTTGATTAGAAGAATAAAAACAAATGCTGCAGCTATAACATCATAATTCCGCCAGTTATTATATTATATATTACGTTACAACGTCCATGTGGCCATTATGATTATGCAGATTCAACATCAAATACATTGGATGATGCTATGACTTGTAAGTAATGACATTGTATGAAAGTCTTCATTTTATGTATTTCAATCTTTCCTTTCTATGATATAGATCATCGAAAATTTGGCAATCTAATTCTCCATGAAAAGTTGACTGGTAGTCCTGTGTTTCGAGGTGATGGCATCGATCCTCATGAACAAGAGTAATACACAATCCATGATAGTTTCTACAACAATTTATTATATTTTTCTTCTTCAGTATTCTAGGAAACAATTAATAAATAAGATGCATCTCTATCAACATTCAGCTCGATGCCCAGTGGCATTTCGTTTCTTTCTCGAATGTAATACAAAATATTGGTGTTTTGTTCCTCTACATCGTGACGAAGCATTGACAGAGAACGCTGTCTATCATCATAGAAATTCAACGATTGTTTCAGAATTAGTTGAGAAAATGGGAATGACTCCAATAGATAGTCGTCGAGTAGATCATTATTTACAACACGTACCTAAGGCACCTACTGGCTATGCATTTTCTTATGGACAAGTACAAAAGCAGCGTGAATTTTTCGAAAATTTTGTGTGTTCGGATATTCATCAACTATCATACCATACAATAGATTTATATAAAATGGCTATTATTGCTGTTCGTAAGTAATTTTATCTTCGTGATGCATTTATATATCATCTTTTTTGCGTATTGATATAGTTCCTGATGATCGTTCGATTCTACTACGATGTATGATCGAAACATTCTTCATTATTCATGGCGGAACTAAATTAAATATGATTTGTCCAGTGGGTAGTGATGTTGAAGAACGCTATGGTCGTCCATATAATATGGTGTGGTGTTTGAATTTGAATCGTCTATCAACGACAACTTCAACAGCCCTTTAAAATCTATATGAAATTGACGGAATTACTCCTCTTACTTTTCATTTATTGAATATGCATACTATGATTATGCATTTAGAATATAAAGAATCTGTTGTACTTGTCATAGTGCCGTGTTTCTTTTTTGTTTTGTGAAATAATCTAGTAGAAAAATAAGCAAAAACAAAACGTAGATAGTCAACTTTTTTTATTATTCTCCTCATATACTATTCTATTGTAGATATGTATTATATTCGAAGTATATTGCATAGGTCTTGAACTGAACTCAACAAAATCAATATAAACATTCGTATTCAATGATTCAAGATTAGAATCAAATGCTAATAACTTCCAGGTGTATCTATTTTGACACAAAAATGCGGAATAGATCTAAGACATAAAAACGTGTACAAGGCGTGTGAATATGTCCACCTAGAAATAAAATATGAAACAATCTTCGACATAAAATGGTCTCTTTTCATAATTCATGAGACTTTCGTCCATACTTATCAAGAACAGATAAAAACTTAGCCTATCTTCTGATCTTATTGTAAACAAGTGTTCTTTTTCTTTCTTTTTTCACATTTCAAGCTTTTCAATTAAAATCCTATTTGTTAAGCACACAAAAAGGAAAAGAAAATATAGACTCTATAATTGTCTCCTTCACTTTTCATTTCAGATTTCTATTCATCAGTTATCAACGATGCCGACTGTCATGCTACCATGGTTTCCTGCAGACGAACATAGCTTACTGGTAAGTTAGTACTGTCTACTATGAAGAGGAATGTATTAAACAAATATACGAAGAACTTTACCGGCATTTAGGAACGCTTATATATAACTGGTAAACCAGATCCAATAAATACGAACAATCCATTATGGACGAATTCAAACCAAAGTGAAATCACTATTACAGTGCAAGATCTGCTAAAGAGCAAAGACTTTTCTACGCTCATTATTCTATACACATTAGCCATCATTGCTATGACTGTGTTAATATACAATTTCATTTCCGACTGTTTTATAACAGAAAAACCAAATTAATCCAACGACAACTCCACAAAGAAGAAACAAATTAAGCAACATGAAAATTCATCAGTGAGATAAAAAGAACACTTCTTTAAAAATCATGAGGATCATACCATCGGCTTTTATTTTATTCATTTAGATCGACGAAGTGTGATCATCAAGTCGAAAAACCATACATACATGAAAAAATTACATTCCTCATTAGCTTTTCTATAGTATCGCATGCTTCCTGTTAGAATCTGATTTTTGAAAAAATATCAAAATAAATCTATTCCCAACTTACATTAATGAGAACCTTTTTCTTTGAATAATTCTATCCGAAGGAACAAAAAACTAAAACATTTCAAATATACGTCTCTATTTCAGATACTTTCGTGTCTAAAAAACGACATTGCCCAAACAACGAATTTCAAACAAAACGACGTAATTATATTTTTCTAGAGCCATAAACAATGTCTATTACCGAAACAAAATACCAATGGACTACCATATCGAATAATATGAAGACTCAAACACTGTGATTAATCCATTCCTCACAACCTTAACACAATCGACTATCACCATACAAGCTCACAATTAAAAGTCAACTGCATATATTACCACTAAAATAAAAAGATGGAGGTAAATTAAACCGCGCAACAAAAAAAAAGATTAAGAAAAACCCTACCACATACTTAATCACCTTAAAAAAAAGAATCCAAAAAGAGCATTATCATGTCTGCAGAAAGAAGACAGAAGGAGCTACTATGGAACCTATAAAAAAAAACACGATAATTTCAAAACGACGACACACGAAGCTAACCACTCCAACAATCTTTCGAGTTCTATCTCGAACTGAGACTGAAAATATTTACCATTCGACTTAATTCTAAGTTGAACAGCGTAAATTTGTCTCGAATTGATTTCTTCTTCAAAATTTTATTGATTTTGAAGTTCATAATCGACTTAGAGATACTAAGCCACCTGATGAGACTATCTAAGCAATAGTCGAAACGCGTCGTGGTAGCTTCTCCACACCCTTCTGTTTGATAAACTTTGACAACATGAGACATTTTTTTCGGATGAAGCGAGTTAGAACTTTATGTAAAAGACAACATTCTGTGTTTCTTCAGTCGATGGAGTTTTTGTGTTATTAAAATCAACATGTGATTATTTAAACATTCACTCTCTGCTTTGATCTGACATTTTTCTTCTTCCTCATCATCAGTTGCCATTTTTCCTTGTCTCTCCTTAATTCATTTTATCTTTTTTTCTTTCTTGTTTCTTTTTTTTCTTTACTTTTTCTCTATTTTTTGTTTTCTTCTCTCCCTTTTGTCACACTTTGTCCACTCAACATGATATATTTACATCTACAGAGCTTTATTGTATGTTAATATCATTCATTATATGGTGAACCAACCAGCTGTGAATGTGTTCATTATTCTTTGAAAGCACTTCCGAGTATAACAATGAAGATAGCGCAATGAAGAAAACCATTAATTATTTTTTTTAATTTAAATAAGTTTATATGGAAAATAGTAAAAAGTCATTCAAGAAATTAGTTTCTCGTTGAAGTATTTTTTTCAGCTACCAAAAAGCCGTTTGATTTGAAAAAAGAGATATAGTATGGAAGAGAAGTACTGAGACGTGAGAAAAGTTCTAGATTGATTGATATGAAGAAATTTCATTCAAAGATTGAAATTAGCATATTATTATTCAGGGCGTATGATTAGCGGAGATAAGTAAGAGGATTCTCCCCCCAAATTCTTTTTCTTGTTTGGCTTTCTCTCTGGAAATTTTTCGAACAATTAGCATCTTGTAATACTTTGATAGGCGAAATAAGCTCGTTACAATTGAACCATTTATCTTTTAATATTTTCACTAATAGTACATACTGCTTTATTGAGGGACTAGTACACAGTTGACAAAAATAAATTCATTCCAAAGCAGAAATAATCCATCTTCTCTGTGTAACTAGCCTATTTTTTCTTTGAAATAAATTCATTTTCTCTTTAAAATTTTCTGCCATCAAGTTATGAAAAAAAATTATTTTTTTTCAGCTTTGAGAGAATTTCTCTCTTAAAATTCTTCCGCTCTCGCTACACAAAATTAAATGAGAGTTATGTTACTATTCAGCTCAACGAGCTCTCTCAAATATACATAAAGTAATGAGAAAATATTTCTACTAATTTCTTTTTCATCATCGACATACTATTAAGAAAAGAGTTGTTATTGTTTGATTGTTCATTCTGTGAGTTTCTCGAAAGGAAAAATACAGTTATAGTAAAACGAACGGTGGGTCTAGTCATAATCATTTTTTGACAACATTATAATGTCCGGAGCATATTCATTACGATCACTATATAATATTGTGCGTGAGAAGTTGCTTACACTGAATATTTACGATTCGCAATCAACAGATTCGAAGATAGTTCGTCGTGGATTGCTATCCACTCGTCTATATCTCCTCTTACTTGTTGTTTCCGTTTTCATTCTGACTTTGTACACGTCCCTCAGTGTACAAATGAAGAGTGGAATAGTGAAACGACCAGCACAGGCTGTGTACGAAAGACTTCACAAAAGCTATACCAGCACTATTCAATGTCCATGTACATATATTTCGACACCCTATGGGACATTTTTCAATATTGTCCCAGTATTCCATCAAGTCTGTTCAAGTAATTTTGTCTCTCAAACATGGATTGATTTTACATTTGGAGCGAATACAACGTTCATATGGCCGATGGATATACGAACAAGCTTAAGCACAATATGGCAACTGATTGCTGCTTTATGCCAAAGTGCAAGAAATAGTCTTGCCGGTGCCATTGACAAATTTACCAATTCAACATTGGTCAATTCGATGCTCTTATCCGAAGAACTACTTAAAGCGCACACCATAGATGCTTTTGATGTAGTCCATCGCACAGTATTGAGTACTTGGGTGCAACCATTTACCACAATTCATCAAGTTACACAAGCAGAGATGTTCATGACAGGCTTGTTGACAAACGCTGTTGCTCTTCGACCATTTCGCAACACTGTATCCGAGTATTTACGGACAAAGGGTAACGGCTATGTCCTACGAGAAACAGGTGAAACATGTAAATGTCAGAATAATGGATCTTGTGCGATGCCTGCTGGTCTCTATTTGTACCCTGTTCAAGAACAATACGGAGTCTTCAATCTAACTAATCTTATCGCCAATGAAACATTACCAGGCATGATATTTGATTGCTTACCCTTAACAATGACTCTCGCGTCGTCTTTGGAATGTTTCTACAATGAATCATGTCTGCAGATTCTTTTCTCTGCTTATTCAAAAACGATCAATATTTCAGTCCTAAACGATTCCCTTCCAAGTCGTTTCATGCCGACAACAATAGTGGAACAACTAATCAATGAACTTTTCATTGAAGAGATTCTCAATGAAACAAGTTATCCGTCATACTATCGTGCATGTGCACCAGTCTATTGTAGTTATACATTCTCACGTCGATTCGATCGGATCTATATTGTCACTACTCTTGCAGCGCTTGTCGGAGGGCTTAGTACAGCATTACGTCTCATTAGTCCATACGTAATCGATCTCGTCTTTTGGTTGAAGGAACGACGATCTAAACAAGTCGAACCTGAATCGAGTGAGAGTAAGGTTCGATTAGAGTGTCGATCTCTTGTCATAACTTTTTGTGAAACACGATCTGAAAGGAGTGTTGAAGTATTTAAGGTAGAAATTTTGGACCCTCCCCCCCCCCTCCCCACCCCCACAAAACCGTGACAGAGAAGCTCTACAAGCATAACAGACCGTGACAGAGAAATTCTGAAAACATAACAGACCATGACAGAGAAGCTTCGGTGCCATCACAGACTGTGACAGAGAATTATCAGACTATCACAGACAGTGACAGAGACCATAAAAGACCGTAACAGAGAAACTTGGATGTCATCACAGATAGTGACAGAGAAACTTCAGACAATGACAGATCGTGACAGAGAAACTTCAGACAATGGCAGAT